ACCCCACCACCACCACCACCAAGGTGGGCCTCCTAACGAAACAGCAAAGCCAAATCTATTGATGGGGCTGGTGCTGTGGAGTAGCCACCTGCAGTGCCAACATCCCACATGGGTGCTGGTTCGAGTCCTGGCTGCTCCACTTCCGATTCAGCTCTCTGCTATGGCCTGGGAAAGCAGTGGAAGATGTCCCAAGTCCTTGGGCCCCTGAACCTGCATGGGAGACTCGGAAGAAGCTCCTGGCTCCTGGCTTCGGATTGGCACAGCTCCAGCCATTGCAGCCGACTGGGGAGTGGACCAGCAGATGGAAGACCTCTCTCTCTGCTTCTCCTTCTCTCTCTGTGTAACTCTGACTTTCAAATAAATAATTTTTAAAAAGCTATTGAAAGGTGCCTGCAAATCTTGGCCGCTTCCCTCAGAGACTTCTAGACCTTTATTTTTTTAAAAGCTTTAGTTATTTACTTGAAAGGCACAGTTACAGAGAGAGGGGGGGAAGACAGAGAGAGAGGTCTTCCATCTGCTGGTTCACTCCCCAGATGGCCACAATGGCTGGGTTTGGGCCAGGCTGAAGCCTGGAACTCCACATGGGTCTCCCACGCTGGTGCAGGGACCCAAGCACTTGGGCCATCTTCTGCTGCCTTCCCAGGTGCATTAGCAGGGAGCTGGATTGGAAGCGGAGCAGCCAGGACTCAAATTGGTGCCCTTGTGGGATGCCGCCATTGTAGGTGGCAGCTTAACCCGCTGCACCGCAACAGTGGCCCCAAGAGACTCCCAGACCTTTCTGCAAAGAATTGTCCAGAAACATCTACAGTGAGGGCTGCGGGACACGCAGAGGGTCTGTTCCAGGGCCAGCTGGAGGGGCTCAGGCCGTGGGAGGTCAGGTGGCGTTCACGGCTGCTCAACGCACACTCGCGCCAAACGGACACTTTACCTCCACGGCCTTAGTCCCTGAGACCAAGAGTCACCAGGCAGACGCCGGTCAGACCCACGGAGTACGTGACCAGCACTCATGGCCGTCCAGGTTATTGCTGCGACTTGCGTATGAGCTTGGATTCCCCCTTGTGCTACAAAAACCAAACTCCCCAGGAGTGGGTGCTTGAGCAGGGGTGAAGACGCCGCTTGGGACGCCCACTGTGGGTCTCACCCGACTCTCGGTCCCAGCTTCCTGCTAACGTGCACCTGGGAGGCAGCAGGCGAGGGCTCCATGGACATCGATGCGGGAACTTGGGTTCAGTTCCTGGCTGTCCAACCTCCAGCCCGGCCCAGCCTGGTTGTTCTGGGCATTAGAGGAGTGGATCCGTATGGGAGGGCTCTCTCTCTCTCTCTCTCTCTCTCTCTCTAAGTAATTTTTAAAAAGGAAGGAAATTGGCCAGCGCCGTGGCTCACTAGACTAATCCTCCGCCTTGCGGCGCCGGCACACCGGCGGGGCACTGGATTCTTTCCCGGTTGCTCCTCTTCCAGGCCAGCTCTCTGCTGTGGCCAGGGAGTGCAGTGGAGGATGGCCCAAGTGCTTGGGCCCTGCACCCCATGGGAGACCAGGAGAAGCACCTGGCTCCTGGCTTCGGATCAGCGCGGTGTGCCGGCTGCAGTGCGCCGGTCGTGACAGCCATTGGAGGGTGAACCAACGGCAAAGGAAGACCTTTCTCTCTGTCTCTCTCTCACTGTCCACTCTGCCTGTCAAAAAAAAAAAAAAAAAAAAAAAAAAAAAAAAAAAAAAAGGAAGGAAATCAAACTATCCACTTAAAATACATCAGGACTCACCAACCTAAAACCGGCTGTAGACGGTTCCCTTCCTCACTTATTTTCTTCAATGAAATAGGAGTATGTCCGTGTTGAAAACACGTTGGATTAGGCTGGGGCCGTTGTGGCACGGCAGGCTTGGCCACCTGGGGACAGCTGCACCCGTATCAGAGCACTGGGCCACGTCCCAGCTGCTCTGCACCTGACCCAGCTCCCTGCTAACGCACCTGGGGGACGGGGGGGACGGCCCAAGTGCCTGGGCCCCTGCACCCACGTGGGAGGCTTGGATGCAGATCCGAGCTCCTGGCTTCAGCCTGGCCCAAGGCTGGCCGTTGCAGACATTTGGGGAGTGAGCCAGGGGGATAGAAGATCTCTCTCTCTCTCTCTCTCTCTCTCTCTCTCCTCTGCCGTTCAAATTAATAAGCCTTTGAAGAAAAAAAATGCCATACTGGAATAATGCTGTGTGGGATTCAGGATACCCTGGCCTGTCGCTGAGACCAAGGAACGTTTCCGAATTGCTAGAGACCTTGTGGGATTTTTTTATATTGAGTTTCCAGGTCACGGTTCTACGGAGCCCACAAGGTATGCGTGACCAGAGCTTTGGTGAGCATCAGTATTCACAGGGCTGGCGCTGTGGCGTAGGGTAAGCCTCCACCTGCAGGGCCACCTGGACCACCTGGGCCACTTCCCAAGACCCAAAGCCACCAGGCTCGTGTCTCCCAGGCCGGGTCACTCATTCTCCCCTGAATAAATCTTATTTATTTCTATCGACACCATGAATTAAGAGGGGAAATAGAGCTTGCAGTATGGTAAGGGAAGCAGAAACCAAAGTCAGCCAACAGGATTTAGAGAGAGAGGATTTCATAAAGAATTTATTTTACTAATTTGAAAGAGTTACAGAGAGGGGAGAGACAGAAAGTCTTCCATCCACTGGTTTAATCCCCAAATGGCTACGACGACTGGGGCTGGGCCAGGCCGAACCCAGGAGCCAGGAGCTCCTTCCAGGTCCCCCACACGGTGGCAGGGGCCCAGGGACTTGGCCATTTTCTGCTTTCCCAGGCACATTAGCAGGGAGCTGGACTGGAAATGGAGCAGCCGGGACTCGAACTTGGGCTTGAATACAGGATGCCAGCGCTGCAGGGTGACCGCAGTGCCCGGCTCCTATTTATTTTCTTGAAAGGGAAAGGGAAGAAAGGAGGGAGGCGAGGAGGGAGGGGAGAGGGAGGGGAATAGAGAGCGAGCGAGCGAGCTTCCTGTGGGGACCCATGGCCGGCCATGGGCCCACATGCTAAGGCTTGGCTTGCTGACCGTTGGCAATAGTTACTGCTGTGTGGATGTTTATGGTTTCTGTTGAGCTGTGATATCGGGACTGTTTCATCACCCCAGGCTAGAGTCAAAACAACTATGGCCTTGGGGCTTCCCGTACTTCTTTTCCCACTGACCAAAGCTGAGAAAACACCAGGTGGAAGCTTGTTGTTAGCACCGGAGTTGCCTGCTACGTGACCAGGAGCTTGATTGGATGAAGGCGCGTGATCACCTTTATGGTTGGACAAGGAGCGCATGGACTGTGCGTGATCAGGCACCCGATTGGAGCGCCGCCGCATGGACTGTAGCATGGACTAAGCTTGCATTACATGCGTCTGCAATGATATACTATATAAGCCATTTGTGATGTGGTACAGGAGCTTCCCCTTTCTTTCGGAGCTCCCCTTGCTCAAGGGTTTTTCTTTCTATCCTGTTTAAATAAAAGTCTACTGAAGACCGATCAGCTGGGAGAAGTGTCGTTCCTTTGCAGGCAAGGGAGCGACACTTCCATCCACAGGCTCACTCCCCGAACGCCCACTACAGCTGGGGCTGGCCCAGGAACCCCCTCTGGGTCTCCTAGATGCTGGCAGGGGCCCAATCCTGGGCCATCACTTGCTGCTTTTCCAGGCGCATGAGCAGGAAGCCGGACTGGGAACGTGGCGCGGCTGGCGCTCTAACCGGGTGCCCCATACGGGACGTGGCGCGGCTGGCGCTCTAACCGGGTGCCCTACACGGGACGTGGAGCGGCTGGCGCTCTAACCGGGTGCCCTGCACGGGACATGGAGCGGCTGGCGCTCTAACCGGGTGCCCTACACGGGACACAACGTGGTGCGGCTGGCGCTCTAACCGGGTGCCCTACACGGGACGTGGAGCGGCTGGCGCTCTAACCGGGTGCCCTACACGGGACATGGAGCGGCTGGCGCTCTAACCGGGTGCCCTACACGGGACACAACGTGGTGCGGCTGGCGCTCTAACCGGGTGCCCTACACGGGACGTGGCGCGGCTGGCGCTCTAACCGGGTGCCCTACACGGGACACAACGTGGAGCGGCTGGCGCTCTAACAGGGTGCCCCATACGGGACGTGGCGCGGCTGGCGCTCTAACCGGGTGCCCTACACGGGACGTGGCGCGGCTGGCGCTCTAACCGGGTGCCCTACACGGGACGTGGAGCGGCTGGCGCTCTAACCGGGTGCCCTACACGGGACGTGGCGCGGCTGGCGCTGTAACCGGGTGCCCTACACGGGACACGACGTGGCGTGGCTGGCGCTCTAACCGGGTGCCCTACACGGGACATGGAGCGGCTGGCGCTCTAACCGGGTGCCCTACACGGGACATGGAGCGGCTGGCGCTGTAACCGGGTGCCCTACACGGGACGCGGGCACCACAGATGGTGCCCAGGAGTGTTTCCTGACCATCAGCCGTGAACTTCAAGACCCAGAACGTGGCAGTCCCGGGGTGGGGAGGGGGGCGGAGAGCCGACCTGCGGATTGGGGGGGGGGTCCCTGACCAGCTGCAGACCACTCGGGACAGGCCGAGACCCTACGCTGTCCTGGCCCTGCTGGGACCTGCGAGCTCCTTCAGGAAAAGGCAGCCCCCCTCCCCCGCCCCCGCCCCAAATGAACGCATTACCCTGGCGTGTTTCTCAGAGAGGAGCCCCCCTCCACCCCAGGTCCTGCGGAGCAGGAGTCTGGAGTCCCCAGGACAAAGCTGCTCATGAAGGCACCCACCGCGAGAGGTGGGCCCCGGTGCCCGCGCGGGAGAACACCAGGAGCCCACTGGCTTGGGGTGCTGCCGAATCCCCAGCCTGCAGGGGGCGCTCCAGAAAACAAGCCCCGCAAAGCCCCGGAGCTTCCGGAAGTCACCGCCGCGCCGCTCACCACCACAGCCCCGCCCCGCCCCGCCATGGCCTCCGCGGTGGGCGGGGCCTCCGTCGGAAGTGACGCCACCGCACCGGAAGTGACGCCACCGGGGCGGAAAGTCGCCTGACGCCCTGCCGCGGGCGTGCAGCCCGGTGGCGGCTGCGGGCTGCGTGGCGCGGGATGCGGCGAGCGGGGCTGCTGCGGCTGCTGCGGCTGCTGCTGGCGGCCCAGGCGGCGGCGGCGTTCGAGCCCATCAGCGTGGGCATCGCCATCGGGGCCGTGTCGGCCCTCACCGGCTACCTGTCCTACACGGACTTCTACTGCCGCTTCGCCGAGTGCTGCCGCGAGGAGCAGCCGCTCAACGCCACGGGTACGCGGGGGCGGGCGGGCGGGCGGCTGTCCCGGGGCCGGGGTCTCGTCCCGCGCGGGTGTCAGCGCGCCCCGGGGAATCCCGCCCCAGGCTTGCCCGGGGGTCGGGGTCTCGTCCCGCGCGGGTGTGAGCGCGCCCCGTGGACCCCGCCCCAGGCTTGCCCGGGGGTCGGGGTCTCGTCCCGCGCGGGTGTCAGCGCGCCCCGGGGGACCCCGCCCCAGGCTTGCCCGGGGGCCGGGGTCTCGGCCCGCGCGGGTGTGAGCGCGCCCCGGGGAACCCCGCCCCAGGCTTGCCCGGGGGCCGGGGTCTCGTCCCGCGCGGGTGTGAGCGCGCCCCCGTGGACCCCGCCCCAGGCTTGCCCGGGGTCTCGGCCCGCGCGGGTGTGAGCGCGCCCCGGGGGACCCCGCCGGCGCCCTGGCCGCCCTGGCCGGCCCGGGGCTGTCTTTATTTTTGGTTTTTGGTAACGAGGGTCGTCTCTCTGCCCTGCGGCCGGCGCGCGCAGCCCTGCAGCGGGACTTGGAGAAGCTGTTCGGACAGCATCTGGCCACGGAAGTGATTCTGAAGGCGCTGACCGGCTTCAAGAGCAACAGAAACCCCAAGAAGCCGCTGACCCTGTCCCTGCACGGCTGGGCCGGCACCGGCAAGAACTTTGTCAGCCAGATCCTGGCTGAGAACCTTCACCCCCGAGGCCTCAAGAGTAACTTTGTGCACCTGTTTGTGTCCACACTGCACTTCCCGCATGAGCACAAGACAAAGCTGTACCAGGCAAGAGAACCCGCCGCCGCCGCTGTTGGCTGCCCGGGCCGCCCGCCGGCTAGCTCTGCCCCCTGCCCCACCGCCTGGGCCGCCCGCTCCCTGCTGTTGGCCCCCCGGGCCCCGCTGCTGGCCCCCCAGGCCGCTTGCTGGCTGCTCTGCCCCCTGCCCCACCGCCTGGGCTGCCCGCTCCCTGCTGTTGGCCCCCCGGGCCCCACTGTTGGCCCCCCGGGCCCCCTGGTCCCCACTGTTGGCCACCCGCAGGTTACTCTGCCCCCTGCCCCGCCGCCTGGGCCGCCCGCTCCCCGCTGTTGGCCACCCGCCAGCTCGCTCTGCCTCCTGCCCCGCTGCCTGGGCCGCTCCCAGCTCGCTCAGCCTCCTGCCCCGCCGCCCGGGCCGCCCGCTCCCTGCTGTTGGCCGCCCCCGGCTCGCTCTGCCGCCTGCCCCGCTCTCTCGCAGTTCATGTCCGCGCGGCTCCGTGGCCCTGGCGGTCACGACCTCCCCTCCCACCGTTGCTTTCTGGTGCAGAGCTGCAGTGGGCGAGGGCCGTCTGCCGAAACGCTGGCTTGCTGCTTGCAGTCTTTGTGATGGGCCGCGGGGCAGAGCGGGAACGTGGACCCAGATCTCCCGGCTGGAAGTGTGCAGAGCGGCCGGCCCCGCCTCAGGGACGAGGGAACGGGCCCAGGGTGCTGGGGCGGGTGGGGCGGGCTTGACCTGTTTGCGTGGCCGCCGCCTTTTCCCGCCGTCTCTGCTGTGGTTGCCAGGAGCACTGGAGGGATTTTCCCCTCCTGAATAGCGTTGATTCTTTTTTTATTTTTGAAGATTTTATTTATTTGAGAGAGAGAGCTACAGACAGAGAGGGCTTCTGTCCTCTGGTTCACTCCCCAGATGGCTGCAACGGCCGGAGCTGAGCTGATCCAAAGCCAGGAGCCAGGAGCTTCTTCTGGGTCTCCCATGTGGGTGCAGGGGCCCAAGCACTTGGGCATCCTCCACTGCTTTCCCAGGCCACAGCAGAGAGCTGGATGGGCAGTGGAGCAGCCGGGTCTCGAACCGGAGCCCATATGGGATGCCGGCGTGGCAGGCGGAGGCTTAGCCCACTGTGCCGCAGCACCGGCTCCAGCATTTATTTTTGTCCTCCCATCCTTTTCTGAGATGTCCCTTGTGTGAGGCTGGTGAGGAAATTCTCGCTAAGTGGGCATTGGCCCTGACGGGGTTAATCTAAGAAGAAATAGAAACTGACCGGCCGAGGAAGTGGAAGTGCACGCGCCACAGGCTGGGGCTGGGTGTCGCCCTGCTTCTCAGGTTCCTCCCAGACATCAGCCGTCCAGTGGGGCGGGGAGGGTGTCCTCGGGTGTCTCACGGTCACGGCCGCGGGTGTCGAGCCTGGAGGGCTCGTTGCCGGGGTGTTTTTCCGTGGTGTGCGTTTCCCCCGGACGTCTGCAAGACCCCTTGTGTTGCGGCGAGGAGCCGACCCCTGCCAGCGCCCACTGTGGGTGGATTCCAGACAAGGCCTGGGAAGCGGTCAGAGAGCCCTGACCTGGGGCCGCCTGGGCCTCCCGGGCAGGAGGAGGACCGGGCACCCGTGCCCCGGGAGCGTCCCTGCCCCTCCGCACACTGCTGCCTCTCTGCTTGGCCAGGACCAGCTGCAGAAGTGGATTCACGGGAACGTGAGCGCCTGCGCGAGCTCCGTGTTCATATTCGACGAGATGGATAAGCTGCACCCGGGCGTCATCGACGCCGTCAAGCCGTTCCTGGACTACTACGAGCAGATCGACGGCGTGTCCTACCGCAAAGCCATCTTCATCTTCCTCAGGTCGGCCGGGGCGCGAGCCCGATTCTGCCCTGGGCTGGGGCTGGAGTGACGTCCGTCCGGGCGACCGCCAGCATTTCGTTTGCCAGCCTGGCAACGGGCACCTAACTCACTCCAGGAAAAAGGACCTGAAGGCAGACCGACTGCTGGGGGGTGGGGCATCGCCCATCCGCCGCTTCACTCCCCAGACGCTTGCAGTAGCTGGGGCTGGGCCAGGCCGGAAGCCAGGGGCCTAGAACGGCATCCGGGTCTCCCACGCGGGTGGCAGGGAACGTCCGCTGCCTCCCAGGGTGCCTTAGGGAACTGGATCCAGAGGCAGGGCAGCCGGTACCGGGACCGGTGGGCTGGCTTCTGTCATTTCCCTGTTGCCGTATCAGCGTGGCCCAGAGAGTGAGCTGCAGAAATGGTCACTGATAAACGGGCGACTGTGTGACAGATGGGCGACCTGACTGTGTGTGATGGGCGACCTGACTGTGTGACAGACGGGCGATCTGACTGTGTGACAGACGGGCTGACTGTGTGTGACAGACGGGCGACCTGACTGTGTGTGACAGATGGGCTGACTGTGTGTGACAGACAGGCGACCTGTGTGTGACAGACGGGCGATCTAACTGTGTGTGACAGATGGGTGACCTGACTGTGTGTGATGGGCGACCTGACTGTGTGACAGATAGGCGATCTAACTGTGTGTGACAGACAGGCGACCTGATTATGTGACAGACGGGCGATCTGACTGTGTGACAGACGGGCGACCTGAGTGTGTGACAGACGGGCGACCTGACTGTGTGTGACAGGCGGGCAATCTGACTGTGTGACAGACGGGCGATCTGACTGTGTGACAGACGGGCGACCTGACTGTGTGTGACAGGCGGGCGATCTGACTGTGTGACAGACGGGCGACCTGACTGTGTGATAGGCGGGCGATCTGACTGTGTGACAGATGGGCTGACTGTGTGTGACAGGCGGGCGACCTGACTGTGTGGCTTCTGAGGGTTGTAAGAAACCATAGCAGGACCCAGCAGGTTCTGAAGAGACAGATTGTAGGTCCCTTGAGGGCCGGTGCCGGTATCTGTTTCTGTGTAGTCTAGCAGTACGTAGTAGCTGTTCCTTGATAAGCATGGCCTTAGAACAGGGTCATTGCCCAGTGCACAAGGGGTCTGACTTAATCTGTGAGGTTTTTTTTTTTTTAAGATTTATTTATTTATCTGAAAGAGTTTCAGAGAGAGGTCTTCCATCTGCTAGTTCACTTCCCAGATGGCCGCAAGGGCCAGAGCTGGGCCAGTCTGGAGCCAGGAGCTTCTTCCAGGTCTCCCACGCGGGTGCAGGGGCCCGAGCACCTGGGCGTCCTCCACTGCTCTCCCAGGTGCATTAGCAGGGAGCTGGATGGGAAGTGGAGCAGCCGGGACTCGAGCAGGCGGCAGCGTTCCCTGCCGCGCCACAGCGCCGGCCCCTAATGCGGGTTTTGTTCTGTGTCTCTGGCCTCACAGCAATGCTGGCGGTGACCTCATCACCAAGACGGCCCTGGACTTCTGGCGGGCGGGAAGGAAGCGGGAGGACATTCAGCTGAAGGACCTGGAGGCCGTGCTGTCCGTCGGGGTCTTCAATAACAAACACAGTGAGTCCACTGGGGCGGCCCGGGGCCTCGGCCAGCCGTGAGCTGCGGCTCCCCGGGCTCCTGGGCCGCGTGGTCGCCCTCGCCTCGTGGCCGCTGAGGTCAGGACTTCTGTTCCAGAAACCAGATGGGGTCCAGCCGAGTGGTGGGTCAGGTGTGTCGCCCCTTGGCGCCGAGGGGTAAAGGCCTAGAGGGCGCACTGAGCCGGGATCAGGGCGGCCCGGGTGACGTGGCCTGGATGGGCAGGAGACGCGCCGGGTCTCGTTTCGCAGGCGGCCTGTGGCGCAGTGGGCTGATCGACAGGAACCTCATCGACTACTTCGTCCCCTTCCTGCCGCTGGAGTACAAGCACGTGAAGATGTGCGTGCGGGCGGAGATGCGCGCCCGGGGCTACGTGGTGGACGAGGACGTGGTGAGCAGAGTGGCCGAGGAGATGACCTACTTCCCCAAGGAGGAGAGGGTCTACTCGGACAAGGGCTGCAAGACGGTGCAGGCGCGCCTGGATTTCTACTGAGCTGCGCCTTTGCCCCGCTCCTCCGGGTTTGGCACGTTTGCACCTGCGGGCTCTGGGGACATCGCCAGTGGAAGATTCTAGGAGTTCGTTTTTGGAGAGAGAGACTCACCTGTCTGGGACGCGGGTCAGTCTGCCACGTGACAGCTCGTGGACTTCCAGGATCCCCCAACACTGAGGTGGCCGTGTGTGCGCCTGCCAGGCCCACGGCGGCCACACCCCGGGAGCTGCTCTGTCTCGGGGCTCCCGGCCCGCTCTCCATGAGAGCTTGGGGTTGGCAGCTGCCGTAGACGGGGTCTCCCTGCCTGGGAGGATGTCAGTTCGGAGCCCTTGGCTGGCGTGAGCTGGCTGCGTGTGGGGTGGGGGCACCCCTGGGCCTCTGCAGCTGCCTGGGCAGACCGGGCGGCCCTCCGTGTGTCCCTGGCCCTGGCGCCGACAGCCCCGGCCCTGGAGTTCCTGTGCCTGCCTCTCCCTTGTGTCGGTCCCAGCCTGCCTTGCATCGCATCTCTCACGTGTCAGTCACTGCCGGGGTCCCTCCCCCCCGGGCCCCGTACACCATCACCAGAGACAGAAGGAGACCGCGGCCTTTCCATTTGAGTCCTCGGTCCCCTCATCTGTTACATCCCACGCGGTCGGCCGCCCCGCAGAGCCCCATGAATCAGCAGGAGCTGCGCACGCTGCAGGGCGGACGAGGCCGGACCCAGCAGTCCGTGGGCAGATGAACCCCGCGTGGCCCAGGGAGTGGCCCTGCGGGACGCCGGGGAGGCCGGGTTTTAAGGATATATTTTTTTATGTTTTTACTTCATAAGGTGTTGCTTGTTTTAAAGCAGGGGGCGGGCGCAGAGCGGGACAAAGCTCATTCCTCTCTCAGGTGCTCCACGGTGTCCCACGTGGTCGCACCTGGAGCGGGAAGTGGGCAGAGGCCAGCCCCTGGGAGTGGTTCTGTGTGTGTGTGTGTGTGTGTGTGCACGCCCTAGTCCTGCAGCCTGTTTGCACGTGAGGGGCGACAGTGAATGTTTGGCGACACAGAAGTGCCTTGAGGTCCCGCGCAGTGAGGTGAGGCTTTCGGTGTTCAGGGCACGTTCCAGAACCGGAGCTGGGTTACATTTCTCTGACCACCTTCTGGGTGTCTGGACGAGAGCAGACACGACTTTGTGTTTACGATGACGCAATAAAGTCCACGTGGTGGCCACCTTTGACCGCTGTCGCTGATTCCTGACTTGGAAAGGCCCTCGGCGAGCACAGCCCCGCGCCAGCGCCGCCACCACCCCTTGCGAGGTGGGGACAAGGCCTTGACCCGACTTCTTGAATGGGAAGTGACAAAGCTCCCGTCGGCCGGGTCGCATGTCACTGGCTAGCTCTTCCTGTTCACTTATTTGGTAGCAGCTTGAGCCTGGAATCAGGCTGTCAGGCCGGGCCGGGACCTGTGAGTTGGCAGTCTTTGCATCACAGAACCAATATTTACCCTGAAGACTATTATCCCCAAACAGACAGGATGGAGCTGCCTTAGGTGATGGGCAGTTGCATCAGCGATGGGCTTCTCTCTGACAAACGTGCTCCTACAGTGAGTGGAGAGCGGCCGGTGCTGTGGTGTAGCGGGTGAAGCTGCCGCCTGCAGCGCCGGCATCCCATGTGGGCGCCAGTTCAGGTCCTGGCTGCTCCACTTCTGATTCAGCTCTCTGCTGTGGCCTAGGAAAGCAGTGGGAGATGGCCCGAGTGCTTGGGCTCCTGCGCTTGTGTGGGAGACCTGGGGGAGGCTCCTGGCTCCTGGCTTCTGATCAGCCCAGCTGTTGTGACCATTTGGGGAGTGAACCAGTGGATAGGAGACCTCTCTCTACCTCACCTCTGCCTCTCTCTAACTTTGCCTTTCAAATAAATAAAATCTTAAAAATAAAATGAGTGGAGGAAGCAGATTGAGATGCTGGGAAAATGATTCCTTGATGGTTTCCCTGAACCCAGCTCGCTGGACGCTTAGGCCCGTGACTGGCAGATAAGGAAATCCTGGCTATGTTCACCAGGTCCCAGCGCGGCACTGAACTTGGCGGCTTTTCTCTTACCAGGAAGTGGGTGAACCCAGGCCCATCCACAGGAATGAGGAGGAACTGACTTCCTGTAAAGTTTAAACCCCCTGCACCGGGGTTCCCCGCTCACTCCTGCCATCTCTCAGTTCAAGGGACCCAAGTCACAAGACGCCGGCTTTGTAGGGCTGGTTCTCAGTTTGCTCCAGCCCGCAGTGCCTCGAAACGGGACCCCTGTGTCTCCAACGAGGGTCTGCAAGGTGCGGTCTTCGCATGACCGATAGGCTGAATCTGGCTGCCAGGGCTGGGACGGCAGGCCAGCTCCGGCGCGACACCAAGAACTGCCTTGGAGACCTGGGATGTGCTGAAGAGGAGCCCAGGCTTCCTCTGTCAGAGTGCTGGTTCGAGTCCCGGCTGCTCCACTTCTGATCCAGCTCCCTGCTAATGCACCTGGGAAAGCAGCAGAAGGTGGCCCAGGTGCTTGGAACCCTGCCGCCCGCGCGGGAGACCCAGATGGAGTTCCAGGGTCCTGGCTTCAGCCTGGCCCAGCCCTAGCTGCCGTGGCCATCTGGGGAGAGAGCCTTGTCAGTCAGGCACAGCAGTGTGTCTAAGACAAGGAGTCAGGGCCAGTGTTGTGGCGTAACGGGCTAGGCTGCTGCCTGCAGTGCTGGCATCCCACATGGGCGGGGTTTGAGTCCCGGCTGCTGTTTCTGATCCAACTCCCTGCTGATCGTGCCTGGGAAAGCAGTGGTGGATGACCCACATCCTTGGGTCTTTGCACCCACGTGAGAGGCGGGATGAAGCTCCTGCCCAAGCCCTGGCCATTGCAACCATCCAGGGAGTGAACCAGCGCACGGCAGATCTCTAACTCTGCCTTTCAAATAAAATAAATCTTCATTAACGCAAAACAGAGTCCACGTTCCTGCAGCCCCTGATCCTGCGTGGCACTGACGCCTGGGCTTGAGCTCCAAGGCACCAGGCGGTGATACCAGTGCTTGGCGAGGGGCTGCCCTGGTCCCGGCGGCCTCGGTCCTGTGTCAGACGTCACCCGGATCTTGCTGGCTAGGCCTCCGCTTCGAGCCTCAGCTCCTAAGGCAGCGGAACACAGCCACGAATCACGTGCAGTGCTATAAAGCCGTGGCCGTCGGCACAGGTAAACGCTGTTCTCAGCTGAGCCCTCCCAGGTTCTGCTCTAACAGAAAAGAGCGAAAAATGAGTCGAGACTTAAACAGCGTGGTGAGTGACCTCCACTGCGTTTTAGAAGCCAGGAGAGAGCAGGGGGCGTGGCTCGCCGGGGGAGCCCAGGAAGCAGGTGCCAAGCTGCCTGCACTTTGCTTTCCACTCTGGCTCCACGCACGGCAGCTCAGGTGCCACGCGAGACGCTCACGTCCGGTACCAGACTGCCCGGGACTGAGTCCCGGTTCTGCTCCCGACTCCAGCCTCCTGTAATGCAGACCCCAGGGAGCAGCAGACGGTGGCTGCTGGGCCCTGCCCCCAGGTGGGAGACCCGCGTTGTGTCCTGGCTCCTGGCATCTTGGGCCTGGCCCAGCCCTGGCTGTTGCAGGCATTTGGTCTGTGAGGCAGTGGATGGGAGATTCTGTGTCTGCCTTTTGCAACAAATGAACGCTCAGGGTCTGAGAGCAGTCACGTGGTCCCAGCCTGTCTGGTGCCCGCGTGACCCCCTGAAGTACCTTCCTTCTACCCATTCATCACTCCCCACGGTAGAATGAGAAGGCCATGCCAAGATGGCCGCTGGCAAGGGCGCGCCAGTTACTCAGGAATGGCTTCGGAAACTCCCTGGGAAACCACCTGGCAATGGCGCCTGCCTGGCAACAGCCCGCGATTGGTTAGGGCATAAGCCACCCCTTGACCGGATTGGCTGCCTCGGCTATATAAGCTGCTGTACCAACAGAAATAAACGAGTCTGGGGGCTGCTCCCCTCTGGCCTGCTTTCACTGGACTCTGGGGTCTGTGCAGTGACTCTGCGCCTCCTGCCTCCACCACACTTCTCCTCTCAGAACAAATCCATAGCAGCAGCTCCCAGCAGCATTGGCTGTGGTCACCCTGGGGTGGAACTGGCCCCTGCTGAGCCTGTCTCCCCTCATGCTGTCCCACAGGACAAACGCCACGGGCCGTGCTGCTTCACGATGTACATTACAATGACAGGAACTTAGGACACACGGGCTGCTGTTGTGGTCCAGTGGCTTCCCCCGCCTGCGACACCAGCATCCCCCGTGGTCACTGGTTTAAATCGTAGCTGCTAGGGCCAGTGCTACAGTGCAGTACGCTAAGCCTCTGCCTGTGGTGCCAGCATTCCAAATGGGCGCCGGTTCGAGTCCCTGCTGCTCCTCTTCCGATCCAGCTCTCTGTTATGGCCTGGGAAAGCAGGCACCTGTGTGGGTGAGCCGGAAGAGGCTCCTGGCTCCTGGCTCCGGATCAGCCCAGCTCCAGCTGGGAAGCAAACCAGCGGATGGAAGACCTCTCCCTCCCTCCCTCCCTCCCTCCCTCCCTCCCTCCCTCTCTCCCTCTCTCTCTCTCCCCCTCCCTCCCTCCCTCTCAAATAAAATCTTTTTAAAAATAAATAAATATGGGCCGGCGCCGTGGCTTACTTGGTTAATCCTCCACCTCTGGCACTGGCATCCCATATGGGCGCAGGATTCTGTCCCGGTCGCGCCTCTTCCAGTCCAGCTCTCTGCTGTGGCCCGGGAAGGCAGTGGAGGATGGCCCAAGTGCTTGGGCCCTGCACCCCATGGGAGACCAGGAGGAAGTGCCTGGCTCCTGGCTCGAATTGGCGCAGTGCCGGCCGTAGCGGCCATTGGGGGGGGGGGATGGACCAACGGAAGGAAGACCTTTCTCTGTCTCTCTCTCATTGTCTATGACTCTGTCAAATAAATAAACCCTAGCCGTCCCACTTCTGATCCAGCTCCCTGTTAATACACCTGGGAATGTAGCAGAGGATGGCCCAGGTTCTTGGGCCTCTGCACGCACGTGAAGTCCTGGATGGAGTTCCAGGTTCCTGGCTTTGACCTGGCCCAGCCCCAGCCATTGTGACCATTTGGCGAGCGAACCAGCAGATGGGAGATCTCCCTGCCTCTGTCTCTCCCTCTGTAACTCCATCTTTCAAATAAATGAATAATTAAAAAAAAAATAAAAGCCAACAGCTTACATTCTAAAAAGTTTCTCATAATGTTAAAAACCATTTTAAATAAAGTTACCACATTTTCAGTAAAACATTCATCCTTCCTTGAAACAGAAACACTTGAAATTAAAATATAATTTAAAAAAAATCATGATCGCTTGTGGGAGCTGGGCGCGAGGGCCTCGCGTCCATGTCCGCCGTCCCTGAGCGGCGACAGCCTGCGGCTCAGAGCAGTGTAGACGAGGTTTGTCCGGTTCCCGGGCGGGGCTGTTCCTCCTTCACTCGAAGCCGTCAGCTGTCAGTCGTCGTAGTAGTAATCCAACTTGGTGAACACAGTCTTGCAGCCCTTGTCCGAGTAGACCCTCTCGTCCTTGGGGAAGAAGGTCATCTCCTCGGCCACTCTGCTCACCACGTCCTCGTCCACCGCGTAGCCCCGGGCGCGCATCTCCACCCGGATGCACATCTTCACGTGCTTGTACTCCAGCGGCAGGAAGGGGACGAAGTAGTCGATGAGGTTGCGGTCGATCAGGCTGCTGTGCCAGAAGCCACCTGCGAGGAGCAGAAGGTGCTGTCCCCACCGACCCTCCGCCGTCTGTCTGTCCTGTCCGACACCCGGCCGCTCTGTGCCCCTCGCACCGGCCCCAGGGAGCGCCTGGCCACCTGCAGGGGGCTCGCAGCCCAGGGGGCCTGGGGGCTCCACGGGCGCGACCGCCCACCGGGTGAAGAGGGGCTCGCGGCCCAGGGGGCCTGGGGGGCTCCACGGGCGCGACCGCCCACCGGGTGAAGAGGGGCTCGCGGCCCAGGGGGCCTGGGGGGCTCCACGGGCGCGACCGCCCACCGGGTGAAGAGGGGCTCGCGGCCCAGGGGGGCTCCACGCATGCGACTGCCCACCGGTGAAGAGGGGCTCGCGGCCCAGGAGGCCTGGGCCAGCAGAGGCGGCCGGGAGGAAGCTGGTTCTCAGGCTGGCAGAGTTTCAAGACAGTGAAAGGAGGGGCGGGTTCCCAGGGAAGGGCTGGGCCGGCCACGCCCTTTCGTCCAGGGCCTCCATCGGCTCCCAGCAGTGGGAGGGGCCAGACAAGTGCACCTGGTCCCTCTGGGCAGGGGCCGTGCCGTGTGTCCCCCTCCCACAGGGGCTGGCGCTGCACCTGCCCAGTCCCCCTCCAGGCTCCTGGAACCCTGACCCAACACTCGCTCCCTCCTTGTCGGCCACGGGGCGCCCAGCACCCCACGGCTTTCTCCCCCTGAGCCGTTTCGCTTCAGCGTCCTCTGACCCTGCTCCCCCAACCAGCACTGCTGTGCACACAACTGGTGCCGACCAAAGGCGGGACTGGCCGGGCGGGGCTCACCTGTGGCCCTGGGAAAGAACTGACACGGAGCGGTGAGGGCTGGGACGCTGCCTGCCCCCTCCAGCTCGCTGGAAGGCCTCCCACGTGCAGACTCCCACTCGGCCCTGGGAAAGGGGCAGAGAGCCAGCCAGGGTGGACGCTGCCCGCATGGGTCTCCCCTTCTGGGTGCAGAGACAGGGGACAAACCAGTGAATTCACAGGTTCAGGCGGTGCTGGGGACACTGGAGAGTGGGCCAGGTGAGCAGTGTAGACGCAGCGAGGGCTGGCTGGGGGGGGGGGGGGTGTCCCCCGGACGCAGTCTGAGTGACAAGGACCAGACCAGCCAAGACAGGAAGCTTCGCAGAACAAGGGACCTCAGGGCTGGCGCTGTGGCGTGGCGGGTAAAGCCGCAACGCTGGCATCCCAAACGGGCACCAGCTCCCAGGGAAAAGCAGTGAAGATGGCCCAGAGATGGGTCCCTGCACGTACGTGTGAGACCCGGATGGAACTCCTGGCTTTGGCCTGGCTCAGCTCTGCCCGTTGCGGCCATCTGAGGAGTGAACCAGCGGATGGAAGACCTCTATCTCACCCTCCCTCTCTGTAACCCTTTCAAATAAAGACATGAAATCTTTTAAAAAGTAACACCTGGGGTCTCAGCCCATGGCTGCACAAGCACCTACTGCTGATGCCCAAAGGGGCACCCCCACCGCGCAGCCTCCCCGACAAACCACAGCGGCCAACCTCCTGCTCGCGCCCCTGCCTGGAGGCCCTACACACCCTCACGCGGCTGACCTGCCCCGCACCAGTGTCCCTTTCCAGCCGCTGAAGCCACACTCCTCCCCCACACAGCCCCGAGGGAGTCCCCACTTCGACCTCCAAGACCCCAGAATCCCAGCACCTCGCCCCACCCGACAGCTACCGCGCCGGTCTCCTGGCCCCTGCTGCCTTCGGTCTGCGCCCCCGGCAGCCGGCACAGCCCAGCGCCAGCCGAGCCACCACCTGCTCGGAAGCCTCAGCGCCTCTCCCACCTGGAATCAAACCCAAGGCCTCCGTAACCTGCGCCCCCGCTCTCAGCCCTGCTCACCTCCACTTCCTCCCGGAGCAGCTGCCACTCCTGGCCTGTGCCCACTGCAGGGCCTCGTCGGCCCACTCCCTCCCACCCTCCCAGGGAGCTGTCCACTCAGATCCAGCTTATGCGTGTCCCAGCACCCCCAGATCCTTCCTTAGTTTCTTCTCCCCGCTGGGGGCAAGAAGAGAACATACATACACCTGTGGGGGGGGGGGCACACATGTTATCTCCCACCATCTGACAGGCTTTACTGACATTAAGATGTAAACTGGGGGCCGGTGCTGTGGTGTAGCGGGTAAAGCCGCTGCCTGCAGTGCCAGCATCCCTTACGGGCGCTGGTTCAAGTCCCAGCTGCTCCACTACCGATCCAGCTCTATGCTGTGGCCTGGGAAAGCAGTGGAGGATGGCCCAGGTGCTTGGGCCCCTGCACCCGCGTGGGAGACCTGGAGGAAGCTCCTGGCTTCGGATCAGCCCAGCTCTGGCTGTTGCAGCCATCTGGGGAGTGAACCAGCGGATGGAAAACCTCTCTCTCTCTTTCTCTGCCTCTCAAATAAATCTTAAATAATAATAATAATAAAAAAGGGGAAGCTGGGTGAGGGTGGGAATGTCTTTCTCCCCACTGGCTGTGTGAACCTAGCAGGTGCTCAGTAAGCCTGGGGGTATCTGGCACCTGCCTGTGACCGGAGCAGCAGCCCAGCCGGTCTGCCTGATTCCCAGGCGGGTCCCCCAGAGTGGCTTTGCAAGCTGGCACGGCGCAGGCTCTGGGCCGCCGGCCCCCATTGGGGACGTGCAGGATTTAGTCTGTGAGTCGGCACCCGTCCTGCCGGCTCTCCACCTCCCGGGGTTCAAGGCCAAAGGTACGGATGACATTCATGAGAGAAGCAGCGAGCAACACAAGCTCCGGTTCTGGCACCGGGGACACGGGACAGGGCGCCCGTCTGCCCGAGCCTCATCCTCACCGGCACACTAGGGACAGCCGCAGTTTCTCCCCCCAAGGTTACTGAAAGGAGATGGGACGAAACGGACACGTGGGCAGTGCTGAGACAGCGGGGGCCCAGCGGTCACCTCCCCGACAGCCATCCTTGGTCACCATCTGCTCGGCTTCTACAAGAACCGGCAGCTGCAGAAATGGGCCAGTGCTCTGCAGGTTCCCAGCGCGACGCCGCTTCCGGGCCTGTGCCTCGCGGGCTGGAAGGGGCCGGGGCAGTGCCGGGCGCACAGGACCAGGGCTGCGGGGCGGTGGACGGGAGGGGCCACTTACTGTTCTTGTTGTTGAAGACGGACACGGACAAGGCGTGCTCCATGTCCTTCAGCCTGATGTCCTCCCTCTGCCTTCCACGCCTCCAGAAGTCTAAAGCCACGTCTGTGATCCTTTCCGCGCCCGCATTGCTGCAAGACACGCCCAGCGGGGTCACGGCTCCGCTCCCGGGGGCCCAGAACCGGCCCAGCCAGCCCCGGCCCAGCCCTCACCTGAGGAAGATGAAGATGGCCTTCTGATAGGAGACCTCGTCCACCACGTCGTAGTAGTCCAGGAAAGGCTTGATGGCGTCGATGAGGCCGGCGTGCATCTTGTCCATCTCATCGAATATGAAGATGGACCTGGCACAGGCACTCACGTTGCCTCGGATCCACTGCTGTAACTGATCCTGGGGTGCGGGGCAGAGGTCAGTGCCGGCTTCTTGGCGAAGCCTCGGGCCCTCGGGCCAGCGCCCACCACCTGCGCTTCCTGGTGCCGTGTGCCCGCTGCTCTGCTCAGAGCACTGCACATGTGAGCCCTGTGGTTCCCTGAACACCCCGTGCAGCGGGCGCCACCATACCCATTGGACAGATGAAGAAACTGAGGCCAACAAGCGCTTAGTCACCTTGCCCGAGACTGTAAGATCAGTGTGGCGGAGCCGGCTCTGAACCGACCCTGCCAGCTTCCCGAGCCCCACGCTTGGGTGGGGGAGTCCGTGCTGTGAGCATCGCCCACGCGTATCCCGGGCACTGGGGAAGGAGGCGGAGAGCAAGCGCAGAGCGGCCTGGAGAGGGGGAGGGCGGGAGGGCCGGCGGCGGCTCCGTGGGCAGCGACGCGCCTGGGCCCTGGACCCCGTGCCTGACAGTGTTCCATGAGCACACACTTGGGGCCTCCTGTAGGACAGGACCCCTTGAGGACATCTAAGACCTGAGCTCTGGTTCTAAACGAGTGGGCGGTGCCCCCCGTGCCCCCCGCCCCGTGACAACAGGGCCATCCGCTGTCTGTCGTCTGGGGAAGATTCTGGAAGTTACGGCGTCAGTCTTGCCGCCTTTCAGTTTTGACGGGGCCTCTGTGGCTCCGGTGACAGTGCCGCCTGGAAGCTGAGGCGGGCGGCAGCCGCCTGCCCTGGCCAAGGGGGCAGTCACCGCTGGAGCGGGGGCTCCCTCAGATCTGCTCGGCCCCCCACAGCCCAGGATGTCGCCTCTGCCACCTGGACTCCGTGAGCGACAGGAGACACACGGCGCCCGCTCACCGCGGGCACAGAGCACAGAGCTGGTCCCAGCGGCGCCCACACGGCCCCCCTGGAGCCCGCCACGGCGGTTACTGCTGCGGCCCCGCTGCTGGGGGACACTTGAGTGGCACAGGCAGGCCGGGACACCTGCCCGGAGTCGCCCAGGTGCAGCCGCAACCAGACCACAAGGACCAGCGCCGAATGCTCCTGGCTTTAGCACCGAGAGCCCAGCGTGCCCGGGTCAGGGTGGGGGTGGGGACACGCTCACGCAGGCAGAATGAGTTCACACCAGTGAGCGCCCCCATCCTGCCCACACTGGGGTCTGCTGCCCGGCCCCTGAAAGATCACAGTGAGCCTATGCTTGAGGTTCGGGTGCCTGGCAGGGTGATGGGTGCGAAGCCTCCCACGCACCTGTGAGCCTCTCCAGGTGGGAGAGCAGGGGCTGTTAATCAGTGACCTGCCCTGGGAGCCCAGTTTGCAACAGTTAGGCTAAACAAACACGTGCCTGCTTCCTCCTGGACAACATGAATGAGACCTGGGATCCCCTCCAGGCACCGCGCCCACGACCTGGGATCCCTCCAGGCACCGTGCCCACGACCTGGGATCCCTCCAGGCACCGCGCCCACTGAGCCGCACCCTCAACCCCTCTGCAGCTGCCACACCTTTCAAAGGGAAACTGAGGCGGGCGCCAGGCTGGGGCTCACTCCCCTCCGCAGGGACTCCCGCACCCCTGCCCACGACGAAGCGGCCGCAGCCGGGAGCGGGGCGCTTGCCTTGTACAGGGTGACATTGGAGGCGTGGGGGAAGTGCAGCGTGGCCACGAACAGGTGCACGTAGTCGCTGCTCAGGCCGCCCTCGTAAATGTTCTCCGCGATGATCTTGCTGACCAGGTTCTTGCCAGTGCCGGTCCAGCCGTGCAGGGAGAGGGTGAGCGGCTTCTTGGGCTTGGGGTTGCTCAGGAAGCCGGACACGGCGTTCAGGATGACCTTCTTGGCCAGATGCTGCCCGAACAGCTTGTCGTCCAGGTCCCGCTGCAGCGCTGGCAAAGACAGGGCCGGTGAGGAGCGGGGGATCCTCCAGCCTCTGGCCAGAGGGGTCAGCGCCCGAGTCCCGCCTGCTGGGGACGTCCTGGCCCCGCGGCCCCAGGGCCCCTGCTCGGTTCCTCCAGGCCCAGCGCCCGGCAGGGAGAGGACCCAGTCCCTGGTGCCCTGGCTCCGACCACGACGGAGACAAGCTCTTCGGAGAACGCCCGCGGAGCCGCCCACCCTGCAGCTCGGCTCCCCCAGGCCTCCGCCCGTCCTGCGGCCGGAGCCCCGCCGCCGCCAGCCCCCACCCCCGCCTACCCTCCCGGTTGAGGCTCCGCTTCTGGCCGCAGCACTCGGTGAACAGGCAGTAGAGGCGCGGGTAGGAGATGTAGCCGGTGAGGACGCCGGCCAGGGCCAGACCCAGGCTGATGGGCTCCACCGCCCGCACCACCGACGGCGCCAGCAGCAGCAGGCCCAGCGCGGCCCGGCCCAGCTTCATGCCCAGACCCGCGCCTCCCCGCGCCTTCCTGCGCTGACCACCGACCGGCGCTACCGCCAGACACGCTCTTCCGGTTCCACCCCGCCGCCGCCGCCATCTTTGTTCGGGGCGGGCTATAGCTGTCTCCGGTGTCCGCCATCTTTTTTAGGGGCAGCGCGGCTTCCTGCTTCCGGCAAGTGGGCTCCCAGGAGACCTCGGTTTGGTTTTTGTATTTTTATAAGGATACGCAGTGTTGTTTTTTTTTTTTTTTTTTTTTTAAGGACAGTTTTGGACTTACAGAAAAATTGACGAGACAGTACGGAGAGACCCCATAAGCCGCACCCCCACAGTTTCCCCTGTTACTAAAATCTTCACACTGGTATGCTGTAAGTAGTATTTGGCTATCAGTTGGTTCCGATCTCTACTTTCTCTGCCCCAGAACCCACCCCCTCCCCGTCTCGTTGCCACATCTGCGGTTACCCCTGATGGTTTCTTAGACTTCCCTTATTTCGACGGCCTTGGGTACTGGACAGCACTGGTCAAAGCTGTTGCAAGTTCTCCCTCTGTTGAAACAGGCACGGTGCCGCTCTGACCAGGCTGGGGAGCGGGGTCACGGGAGTGGAGCCGTGTCTTCACCTGCCATACCCAGGGCAGCGCTGCCCACGTGACGGAGGCCATGAGGCTGCAGCTGTCCACCCCAGGGGCAGGAAGCTGCCCCACTCCTCGGGACAACAGCGGCGCAGAACTACCCATGCTCCCCACGGCCGGCCTCTCCACGTACTTATTCACTCAATTATTACAGCAGTGTGGGCCCTCGGCCGCTGATTTCACTCTGGGTTGTAACCCACTACTGTATTGTTCCTTGGATTGTTCTGGTTTTGCTCACGGAAGTCTCAGCTGGTCTCTTGTGTTCCTTTGATGTATAACCAATGTATGCATATTTTAAACAAGGTGTGCGCTTTTAAAAGATTTTTTATTTACTTGAGAGGCAGAGTAAGAGGGAGAGACAGAGAGGTCTTCCATCTGCTGGTTCACTCCCCAGATGGCCGCAGCTGAGCCAGTCCAAAGCCAGGAGCCAGGAGCTTCTTCCAGGTCTCCCATGTGGGTGCAGGGCCCCAAGGACTTGGGCCATCCTCCACTGCTTTCCCAGGCCACAGCAGAGAGCTGGATCGGAAGTGGAGCAGCAGGGAAAAAGACTGGGGCCCATATGGGATGCCAGCACCACAGGCAAAGGCTTAGCCTACTACGACACAGCACCAGCCCCTATTGTTGGTTTTTTAACCATTTTATTCATTTATTTAAATTTTTAAAATTTATTTTCATTTTATCTGACAGTTAAGAGACCTTTCAGCCCCAAGTTTACTCCCCAAACACATGCAGCAGCTGGGGTTGGTCCAGGCCAAGGCCGGGAGCCGGCAACTCCGTCCTTGTCTCTCTCATGGGAGCAGGGGCCCACGCACACGGGCCATCTTCTGCTGTCTTCCTAGGGGAGCTGGCATGAAGCTGTGTCCCAGGCGCGGCAGCTGGGCTATGCACTGGCACTCTGGTGCTCACGTCGCAAGTGCCCCACAACGCCTGGCCCCTCTCCATTTTATCGATGAGAAAACCGAGACTCGAGGGATTAGGAGCAGTGAGCAAGGGTCCGATCTGGCCCATGTGCACCAAGCCTCCACGGCCACGGGGCTTGCACGCGGCCAGTCCGGCGTGCACCAAGCCTCCACGGCCACAGGGCCTGCACTCGGCCAGTCGGCGTGCACCAAGCCTCCACGGCCACGGGGCCTGCACTCGGCCAGTCCACAAGTCTCAAGCCCACTGCTTCCCTGGCCCGTCCAGGGAAACACCTCGGCCAGCCGGTCGGAGCGTCTCCGTCTTTTGAGTCAGCGGAGGGGCCCGGCACTGTGGTGTAGAGGGTTTGAGTCCCACCTCGATGCTAAATGCCCCTGGGAAAGCAGCAGATAAAGGCCCGAGTGCCGGGGCCCTGCAGCCACGTGCGAGACCCGGGGAAGCTCCGGGCCAGGCCCTGCCGCTGCCGCCGTTTGGAGGATGAACTTCAGCTGGGACGATCTCGCTCGCGGTCTGCCTCTGGCTCTCCTTCTCTGTAATTAATTCTTTCAAATAAATCACCTCAAAAAACAAGAACGGAAGGAGAACCCGTTTCTCAGGAGCTCAGTTTGACATCTGAGCCCCCCAGGCCTCGGGCTGTGAGAGCGTCACCTGGTGTTGCTGAAGGCCACGAGGCCGCGCTCGCTCTGTATTTAATAATCCAGCCCCACACGGGGGAGGACAGGGAGTTCTCCCTTGCAGAGAGAGAGGCCATTTTGCAGAAGTCAGAAAATGCAGGCGTCCGCTGAGGTCGTCCCAGCTGCTGCTGCTCTGAGCCGTGGACGCGTCCCTCCCCAGTGTCTGGAAGTGGAGGACACGAGTCCATGTCCACCACTGAGAGCCCAAGCCGAGGCCGGGACCACCGGGCACACACAGCTGTTCCCTCCCAGACCAGAACAAAGAGAGAAAGCCAGTCTATTTACAAACAAGATTTAATAATGCAGAGTTTGTCCCCAAAACACACAAAGTAAACCCAGTTTTTCAAAGTTGACAACCTGCGTGCTTGAGGACCCCCAGGCAAGCCTGGGTGAGCCTGTTTCGGGAGCGCGTGCCCGGGGCCGGCAGCCGCCCCCCTCAGTACCGCCTGTTCATCTTCTTGAACTTCTCGTAGTGGTAGTCATCAGTGGCTTTCTCGTTAGCGGGCCGCTTGCGGTTGGGAGGGGACCCTGCAGGAGAAGACAGCGCCCCACTGGCACCCCCAGCCTCCTCCACGGGAGCCCCAGCGCCTGACCCAGCCCGTGGACGCAGCAGGCCCCTCACTGCCGGTTACACGAGTGACTTGTAGCTCCAGGTTGCTGACGGCAGCTTCCTGCCGTCTCTTCTGCGCTCGGCAGCCTGGTGCGTCCCGAGCGCACGCCCAGGGGCGCGTTCTGGTGCAGCCCCACTTAGAGGGGGACACCGCGGCGTGGGGAGGGCCGGGCGGGCTCCACGCGGGCATCCCGGCCCTGAAGCCCAGGCTCTGTCCCGCCCCGCCCGGCCCCGCGGGACTCACTCTCGGGCTCGGGCTTCTCCGTGTCGCCCACTCTCAAGGGCCGGGCCTTGGGCTCCTCCTTGTTTCTCCGGATGGGGGCGTTGAGCTCCTCGTGGTAGACTGCAGCGAGAGACCAGGGGAGAGTCAGGGGGAGAGTCAGGGGGGAGGAGCCCCGGGACCCCTCCCACGGGCTGGGGGCTGGGGCTCACAGCGGTTGTGCTGCACGTAGTTCACGGCCATGTTGGTGGGCACGAAGGACGTCTCGCTGTCCTTCTTCTTGTTCTGCTGCTCGGCCAGCAGGCGGGCCTTGGCGTCCTCCGTGGAGATGATGTTCTTGATCTTAGCACTGCGGGGGAGGCCCCAGCGCCGTCAGGGCAGGGCCGAGGGCACAGGGGGCGCCCTCTGCTGCTCAGGGGGAACCGGCCTCAGAGGAGGGGGCTGCTAAGGCGGAGCCTGGAGGCCAGAGAAGGGGCTCCAGACCCCCCCCACCGTACTCCTTCCCCCTGCAAAGCAGACTTCGTAGCCCAGAAACGGGACCAGGGAGGGCGGCTGGGGGGGGCGCGGCCTGGCCTGGCCTCGGGGGCGGGGCGGGGCGCGGCCTGGCCTCGGGGGCGGGGCGGGGGCACGTGACTCGCGGGTGGGCGGCGCCTACTCGATGCCGAGGTCCACCTCGGGGATGCCGCTCAGCATCTGGTTGGACAGCATCTCCTCCGTCCTCTTGGCGGAGCGCACGCGGATGCTCTCGGGCAGCTCGTACAGGCAGTCCTCCGCGCTCCGCGGCTTCACCCTCTGCTCCTCGCACTCCACGATGCCCTTCCGCCGCTTCAGCTCCGTCTCGATGTACTTCATCCTGGGGGGGGGGGGGGCGGGGCGGGGCGCTCACCACAGGCCCCGCCCGGGCAGGGCTCCCCGCGCCCCAACCCGGAAGTGCCCATCAGACCGCGGGGAAGCGGAGTCGGCAGTGTTCAACCTAGAGCACCGACCGCAGGCGCTGCCGGCTCTCTGATGGCGAGGCCGCCGCTCCGCCGGCAGCGCCGGGAGCACTGCCAGTCCTCGGCCCCTTTTCATGGGCTCTGGAGAGGCCTGCAAAGCTCTCAAGCCCGAGAGGCGGGAGGAGGGGCAACTTCGGTGTCTTCCAGGAAAATTCTAGAAATGCCAGCTCCGAGGGCGCGGCCAGGAGACACCTACATGTCCGCGTCCTCGTCCCTGCGGTTGGTTTCTGCGGAGAACGACGTCCCCAGGTGGAGGTCTTCCTCCTCGCTGATCCTGCAAGCGGGGACAGAGCCGAGTGGGCGGAGCCGCCGTCACCCTGGGCGGGGCGTGTGTGCGTGTGTGCGTGGGTGTGTGTGTGTGTGTGCGCTGCGCAGTGAGGAAGGCCGAGCACAGGAGACGCCCTGCTCAGGGCCGGAGAAAGCAGACGCTGCGGGATGGCGGGACACGCGGAGGAGCCCAGGACGCCCGGCAGGAGACCAGGGCCTCCGGCGCCCCCGTGGGGAATGAGCGGTGGTCCTTAAGCTTGTGAACTATCTGAGAGCACTCTTAGACCCCCAGGGGTCGAGAGACCACGGGCACAGGGGCACCCCCGCCCCCGCCGAGCTCGCTGCCAGTCGGTGTCGTTTCTGCCCGGTCCCAAGGGCCCGCGTGGTGACAGGCCATCCCAGGGTCAGGTACTGAGGCCGGCGGTGCTCAGAGGGGGCGCCCACGAGCGCGCCCTGGTGAGGCTGGGAGGACAGAGAAGCAGAGGCCACACGCCCAGCCACTGCCTGTCTCTTCCACCTCAGGCCACCGCCAGACGCGGCTGAGAAACCAGGGCTGTGGGCTGGGTGAGCCTCTCTCCTGCAGAAGCGGCCCCGTCACGCGGAACGGCCGGGCGCACGCGTGGAGCTGGGCGCAGGCCGAGGGGCCGCCCCGCCCGCCCGCACTTACTTCTCTTTGCCCCTCTCCTTCAGCTTCTTCATGTCCACCATGCCGCCCGTCTTCATCTGGAACGGGTCGTCCTGCGGGGAGCAGACGGCGCAGGGAGGCAGCTGCACACGCGGCGGGGCTTCCGGCCACGGAACAGCGGCCACGCGGAGGACCCCATACTTACCACCAGCGTGGTCTCTTCTTGTACCTTCTCTCCCACCAGCAGGGCGGCAGCACTGAGCAGAACCAGAGAGGAGAGAGGACTCGCACACCCCGAGACCACTCAGGCACACTCAGGCCTGAAGGTGCGACGTCACTTTAGGGCGGCATTTGAGAGGCAGACACCAGAGCCAGCGGAAGACCCCAGGACCGAGCCAGGGCTCACGAGCACTGTGGGTGCTGGGGAGGGGGTGCTGAGTGAGGTGGACACCAGCGGACACCACCCTGGCCTGGCGATCTCATTTTCAAGATTTTGCCGAAAGGGACTCTGCAGGTGAGCTGGAGACAAGTGTAAGAGAATAATACTGCGGCTCTACGGCTGGTGCACATTTACACGGCCTACGTGTCCCAGAGGAGGAGAGCTGCTGACAGACTACAGTCTGTACATCTGCTGGGATGTTAAACATCCCTCAAAAAGGTTTTCTGGGGTCGGTGCAGTGGGTTAACGCCCTGGCCTGAAGCACTGGCTTCCCACATGGGCGCTGGTTCGAGTCCCGGCTGCTCCACTTCCGATCCAGCTCCCTGCTAGTGCAACTGGGAAAGCAGTAGAAGATGCCCAAGCCCTTGGGCCCCTGTACCCGCGTGGGAGACCTGGAAGAAGCTCCTGGCTCCTGGCTTCAGCTCAGCCCCAGCTGTTGCAGCCATGTGGGGAGTGAACCAGCGATGGAAGATCTCTCTCTCTGTAACTCTGCCTTTAAATCAATAAATCTTTTTTGTTTTAAAAGATTCATTTGTTTATTTGAAAGAGTTACAGAGAGAGGTAGAGACAGAGAGAGAGAGAGAGGGGGAAAGAGGGAGAGAGGGAAAGAGGGAGAGAGGGAAAGAGGGGGAGAGACAGAGAGAGAGGTCTTCCATCCACTGGTTCACTCCCCAGATGGCCGCAACGGCTGGAGCTGCGCCGAGCTGAAGCCAGGAGCCAGGAGCTTCCTCCAGGTCTCCCACGCGGGTGCAGGGGCCCAAGCACTTGGGCCATCTTCCACCGCTTTCCCAGGCCACAGCAGAGAGCTGGATCAGAAGTGGAGCAGCCAGGACTCGAACCGGAGTCCCGGCTGGCGCTGTGGCGCAGCAGGTTAAAGCCGCCGCCCGCACTGCCGGCATCCCATATTCACCGGGGGCAGTTGCTGGCGTGCGGTAGCTTTGGGACACAGCCCCGGGCTACAGGGCTCAGGGCACGTCCCGGCTAAGCGTCGCGGCCGGGAACGCGGGTCCCTGGCCGGCAGTGTCCGTCACCCTTGCCCCGTCCTCCTCGCGTCCGCAGGACCCACCTCACGCCGTTGGGCCTCTTCCTCAAGTTCTGCACCTCTCGGGTCTCCTCCAGTTTTAATCTGGAAAAACAAAAAACCACGCACAGGCTGAGTCTGCTGCCGAGGCCGGAGGGCGACCCGGCGCCTGGGCCCACCGCAGTCAGCTCCTCCACGCGCCCGCTCGCAGCTGCCCGGCCCTGGGGCTCCTACCTCACCCCCAGGCGCCTCAATTTCTCCGTCCACAACCCCAATTCTCAAGCGTCCGCGCTGGGCCTGGCCGGCGGTCAGTCCCCCAAGCACATTGCTCCGGGTCTGCACGAGCCCCGCCCCCAACGCACCGAACCTCCTCTGAGTCCTGCTCATCTTCTTCCGACTCCGAGTCGGCCCGGCGCCGCCGGAAAGTCTTCCCGGTGACTGGCATAGCGGCAGCCGGGCCGGCGGTCCCGGCGCCCCGCCGCTGGACAGTGGCAGGGGGCCGCTTCCGGCGCGCCGCAGTGATGTCAGAGCGCCGGCCCCTCTGGCCCCGCCCCCAACCAGCAGGTCCCGCCCTCGACCAGCACCGCCCCCGCGTGACCACGCCCCCCCCGTGGCGCCGGCCTCGCCCGATTGGACGGCTGTGGGGGAGGAGGCGGGGCGCGGCCGAGCGGACTGCACGACCCTGCGCAGCGCGGCGGAGGGCTCGCTTGACTGACAGGCGGCGGCGGGGGCTGTGGCGGCGGCAGGTGAGTTCCGGGCCGCCGCAGGCTGCTTCAGGGGGGCCGGGCCTTTCTCCTGAGGAGCGACCCCAGCTGGCCCCGCTCCGGGCGGTCGGGGCCTGGTCGGGCCAGCGGCGCCGCACGCCGCGGCCAGGTGAGCGGAGCCCGTGGCCTCCTCCTCGGCGCCGCCGCCACTTTTGGCTTTCGCGGCCGGCGCCCGTGAGGGGCCTCTGGGGTGCCGGCGCCCCGCTTGCAGGCCGGGACGGAGGCCGGCCTCCGGGTTGCTTTCTGACGCGGCGTTGGAGGCTTGCGCGTGGCGTTCGGGGCTCTGTGGCTTTGGTTTCCCGGGGGCCCTGACGTGCGTTTTTCTCTTGCGGGACAAAAGATGACCGCTGCTCGGCGGTGGCGGGTTACAGCCCCAGCGCCGACCCCGAGGGCCGCGGGAGCTCGCGGGCTGGGTCGCCCCTCCAGCGCCCCGCCCCGGAGAGGTGCCGGGAGCGTACACTGGACGTGCGACGCGGGGCTCCTGCAGCGCCCGGCCGTGGCGCAGGTCCGAGTGTCCGTGTCGTCTCCAGGGGCCGGCCGGGCCCGTGCTGTCGGGAGACGGCCCTCGGGTTGTGTGGCTTGCTACGTGGCAGGCGCCTTGGAGGCTCTCAGAACCCTGCGAAATGCGTGCAGCCGCTTTGCGCTTTGCAGTGCGGATACTGAAGGTGGAGCCGGGCCGGCGGGCCCAGCGCGGCTATCCGGGCTGCCCAGCCGAGGGCGGGGCCTGCGGAGGCTGGGCTGGGCTCCCGCGCCGGGACCAGGGCAGTGCCTCGCCGGTCCCTCTGATGGGTGCTGCTGCTCCTGGCCATGGGGCCGCCAGGAGCCTCGGCACTGCTTGGCACAGCCCCTTGGTGTCTGCAAAGCCTCAGAAGCCTGCCTGGGGCGCACTGGCTCAGCCAGGCCCAGATGCACACGGCGCGCGCCGGACGCGTGGGTGTGCTGTGGGCACCCAGCCAGTGCCGTCTGCAGCTGCCCGATCGGGGCCCTCCCACCAAGGTGGACTCGCGGGCCCCCTTCCCACCCCACTCCAGGAGAGCCCGGCGACACCCAGCGGTCTGTGGCCGCTCCGGTTCAGTCTCCGTTAGCAGAGGGCAGGGGGCGGCGGGGCCGAGGGGCTGCAGGGCCTCTGGGGGGTGGGGGATGAGGCTGCTTCCTCCAGGGAGCTTGGGTTCCGCTCAGCTCAGAGTCTTGGTGGGGTCTGTGTGGCTGGCTGCTTGTCCAGGGCCGGCCTGGGGTGGGGTGGGGTGGGGTTGGCTTGCTGGTCCCTTTCCTGGACCTCGATGGAGCGCTGGCTGGGTACCGTGTGGCATCCAGCGAGGTGAGCGGAGCCAGTGTTAGCCTTCAGCAGAGTCCATCGGGCATTTGCTGCGTGGGCAGGCGCTGCTCTCGGTGAGACGTGTCCGGGTGCAGATCCCGGGTCGAGTGACATGCAGGGTGCTCTGATGGGTGCTTGGGGAGGAAGGGGGTCGGGCGCCAGGCTTCAGTCAGCGCGTTCTGGTATGTGGTCGGAAGGGTGATGAGGCAGACAGCGCACAGGCCCGAACTGCAGGCCCTGGGTTCAAGACCCGGTTCTGCCGGCTCACCCCCTGGGTCTGGGCAGGCTCCCCCCGCCCCAGCCTTCGTCCGTCCCGGGGCGGCTCCGCCCTTTCCCAGCCCTCTGCCATGTGGTGAGCCTCTCAGACCCTCAGCTGCTTGGGGGCTTTGGGGCCTTTGGGTCTGAACATTTTTTTAATTTCATTTCATTTGACAAAGGTGTTTGTAGAGTACGTGCGGTGGGCTCCAGTCCTGACCGGGGGACACGTGCAGTGCTGGAAAGCCCGCAGGTCAGCAGACAGCAGCCCGGCTGGCTCGCGCTTCTGGCCCAGCCCGAGCAGCCCCCGGGACCCCTGCCCCCCCCCTCCGGGAGTGCCTGGGTTCAAGCCCCAACCCCACCCCTGTCAGTGGGCTCCCTGGGAGGAAGCAGCTCGAGGTAGCTGGGCCCTGCCCCCCATGTGTGGGCCCTGCCCCCTGTGGGCCACCTGGATTGAGGGCCTGGCCTGGCGCAGCCCTGGCTGTGGTGGGGGCACTCGGGGAGTGAATCAGCACATGGGAGCTCTCTGCCTTCCCCATAAATCATTAAAAGAGAAGTCTCGGAGAAGACTTGAAAGCAGAGAACAAATATTTAAAGATACAGAAAAAATGACAGTTCTCTTTGGCTCCAGCAAGCAAACATGGATCAAAGACACAGAAGTTTCTGGAAGACCAGCTCCCATTTGTTACAAAGACTTTGAAACAAAGACAGCTGCCCTCTGGGACAAGAGCGAGTGCGGGTGATGTGGATGCCGGCTGACAGCGATTTCGCGGAGTGGGAGGGAGACGGATGCTCGTAAATCCCATTAAGCCCTGATCGCCAGGCAGACGCCGGCTGCCAGACGCCGGCTGCGTCACCTGAGCAGCCAGCTGCTGATTTCAGGCCCTAGGAGCCTGGCCCTCAGTGGCCGTGGCCGGGACGCAAGTCTGGGTCGGTTCCGAGTCGTCTCCGTCTGGCCTCCTGCTTGGTGCAGGATTTGAGGCTTCCTGTGGCTGGTCGCTGCCCCCGACCGCTGACTGCTCCCAGCGAGTGGCTCTCAGAGCCCGGTGCAAGGGTAGGGCCAGGCTTTGGGCTGCGCAGATGCTGGCCTAGGCTCAGGGCTGCCCACTGTAGAGGACGCACTGGGAAGGGAGGCTCAGAGGGGCTGCCTGTGAGGCTTTTCCTGGTGGGCGGGTGTTTGGGGAGCTCACCCGTAGGCCAGGCTGGCCGGGGGCTGTTGGGGCGCTGACAGCAGTCCTGGGTTCAGCTCCTGAACGGTGACCTCAGCCCGGAGCCGGGAGATGACACCAGCCTGGAGCTGCGTGATGACGCCAGCCGGAAACTGTGTGATGACCTCAGCCAGGAGCCGGGGGATGACCTCAGCCAGGACACTGTGATGACCTCAGCCGGGAGCCTGTGATGACCTCAGCCGGGAGCCGCGTGATGACGCCATCTGGAAACTGTGTGATGACCTCAGCCAGGAGCCGGGGGATGGCCTCAGCCAGAAACTGTGTGATGACCTCAGCCGGGAGCCGGGGGATGACCTCAGCAGGACACTGTGATAACCTCAGCCAGGACCCTGTGATGACCTCAGCAGGACACTGTGATGACCTCAGCCGGGAGCTGGAGGATGACGCCAGCCGGGAGCCGAGTGGTAGCCTCAGCCGGAAACTGTGATGACCTCAGCCGGGACCATGTGATGACCTCACTGGGAGCTGTGTGATGACTTCAACCAGGAGCTGGGGGATGACGCCAGCCGGGAGCCGGGGGATGGCCTCAGCCGGGACACTGTGATGACCTCAGCCGGGAGCCTGTGATGACCTCAGCCGGGACCCTGTGATGACCTCATCAGCTGCCCGGCCTGCTGAGCCCCAGTTTCTCCTGGATGGAGGTGGACTGAGCTTGAGACACTGCTGTCTCCCAGAGTGGTCGTGAGGATCCAGACACAGGCCTGTCAGTGAGGGCCGGGAGAGACCTCGAGGGCGTGGTGGGGGCTGAGTTGTGCTTGGCGGCTCGGCGGATGCTGGGCTCGCAGGAAGCTCAGGCTGGGCTGAGGGGGTGTGGGCTGTGTCTGGGACTTGGGGGAATGGAGAGACAGGAAGCAGGGAAAAAAGCCACACGTGCTGAGAGGCAGGGGGAGCGTGGGGGTGTGGGAGGCCGGCCCGGCAGGGCTGGTGGGCATCCTCTGCCCTGAGGGCCTGGCTCTGCCCTGAGAGGAGGAGCTTGGCCCGGAGCCCTGGGAAATGCTGAGTAACGGCACCCGAGGCAGCCGGGCGCGGTGGACGTGCGGCCTGTCCTGCCCTTGTCGAGTGGCCGTCCCTCCCCAGGTCCCACCCGAACTTGGTCCCGTGGGGGCAGGGGGAGCACCTTTGCCCTCACTCCAGTCCAGCCCTTATCAGGATGAAGCATCTTGGAAATCTCGCTGGGGCCAGGCATTGGTGCCCTTCCCGACGTCCCAGCCCTGCCCCCGCTCCTGCTCTTGGCCCCCAGGAGAGGAGGGTCTGGTGGGCCTGGGGGGCGAGCACACCCAGCCAGATCTGCTCCGGGCCTGGCGGCTTGCTGACGCAGCAGCGTGGTGGTCCAGCCGCTCCTGGGGCCTGAACCTGGGTCTTGTTCTTGGAGCACCCTTTCTCTGTGCATCCCACTTTTCTTTAAGGAGCCAGCCACATGGAGGAGCGTATAGGCCAGGAAGCTTGGGGTGGGTGGCCCAGAGGCCACGCGCCCTGGAGGTGCAGGGCAGCAAGGGCCCACAATGGCAAAAGGGCAGGCCCACTGTGTCCCAGGCCTTTAATCTGCTTCCAAAGGGGAGTGGTTAGTTAACCTGATTGGCAGGTAGGCACACAGGTGTGGCCAGGTAGGGGCATGAGGTCACACAGGGGCGTGGTGAAGGCGTGGTCTCCCAGCTCACAAACCTGATCCGTTTTATCTTGTATGCCTGCCTATATCATTCCCGGCTGAGAGACTCCATTCCCCTACTCCTAAGGGATGCTGATGGGTGTAGAGTCATCATGTCTTCTGTACCAGCTTCCTGCTATGAGGGGCGTGGTGCAGGCCCTGCCCGTCCTGGGTCTGGAAGTCTCCGCCTGTCTCATCTAACACATTCGCCTTGTGAGCTGGAGCAGTCTCGGCACCTCCAGTGTCTGTGTAACCAGGACTTGGACTCCACCTGTGTGGGATGCCAGCGCTGCGTGTGGTGGTTTAACCTGTTAGGCCGCAG